GCCGCCGCCGCTCCTCATTGGCTGGGCGTGCCCGGGTGGGGGGCGGGGGGAACAGAGCTGGCGGGCGGGGGAGGTGCGGGGCGCTGCAGACAAAGAGTGTGCTTCTTGCGCCCGCCCGCGCCGCCCGGGAGGGAGAGGAAGCCGGGTGTGCGCGGGGGTGGGATGGTGGGGCCGGGCCCGGGACCCCACGGCCTGCTCGGCCCGGAGCCTCCCGGCGTGCGGGATGCGGGCCAGCTGGGCAGGGGGTCGGGTGGGGTGGTGCGCTCGCTCTGGACTGGGCCCGGGACCTGGGACCTGGGTCCCGATCCCGACTCCGCCGCCGAACCTTAGCGTCCTCGCCTGTATAATGGGGACTGCTGCGAGAACGGCGTGGAGCGCCGGGACCCCCAAAGCCTGCAGGCTCGGACACAACGAGTTGTCATACTCCTCGGGCTGCCTTGGATCGTCCCGCCTGCGCGCCACCCTGGGTGGCCTCTGGGGCTTCTGGCCGCCTGGCCCGCCGCACGGGGTCTCAGGGTCTGAGCGCTCCGGCGTTTCGGGCGGCGGGGAGCGAACTTGAAAACGAAGCGGGCCATGGGGCCGAGGCGGGGCAGGACCGCGGGGTCGCGGGAGCCGCGGAGGGTTGTGGAGCGGAAGAGGTTTCTGGACGGGGCGGCACAGGCCAGACCGCGGCGCGTCCTTTGGCGGCGGCCGGGGCGCTGTGTGGCCGGAGGGGGCGGGCGCCGGGCCGCGGCCTGGGAGGGGGCCGGGGGCCGGGGCGAGTCAGACTGAGGGGAGGCAGTGAGTGAAGGCGGAGAGGTGGGAGCGCGCTCGGCCCCGGTCACCGTGGGTGGCTGGGCGGCAGGAGGAGGAGGAGGAGGAGGGGCTAAGTAGCCGTCGCGTCCACCCCCCCCCCAGAGTCCTTGAGGTTGACAGTGGCCAGGGACCCCTCCCTGGTCCCGGGGGAGGGTCTGGGTCAGCGATTTCCCCTCCCCTCCTTCCCCAGCGCCTCGTGAAGTCCGGCTTGTCCAGTTGCGGCAGGGTTTGGGCGCGTGCTTTCTCCTTGGCAATGAGAGTCAGATACACCCTCAGGCCCGAACCCAACTTCCTTCTTCACTGTCCTGTAGTCAGGACCATACCTTGCCGCGTCTGGGTTCCAGATCACACGGGTCTTTTATTCTCATTTTACCGGTTCTGAAATCAGGGTGGGGATTACAATGGATATGTATCTCATAGACAAGTTTTAAAGATTATGTGTCTTTGGTACCAGGGCATATACATCAGGCACATGTAGGTAGTGAAGCATGGTGAATCAGAGGCCACTGGGAATCCAACCTTCATGTGTGGTTTCCTTTTATTCTTCTTAGAATAGAAATAGAATATTCGTTAAGCAGAGACCCAAACCCAGGTCTGCTGACTCCTAGTCCAGTGCTCGTGATGGCTAGTGGGCCCTGAACTAGGAGTCTGGAGGCCTGAGTTTGAATATCGCCAGCCACTGACCCAGCTTGTGCCTCAGCAAGGCAGGTGGGGGTGGTGGGAGAGTGGCCCATGAGCCAGAAAAGCAGTAGCGTGGGACCCCCAGGACAAGCCCAGACCCCAAGAGTGGCAGTAGTTGACTGTGGGGATAACCAGGTGGCTGGAGGCCGCCCGGAGGCCACTGTGATTAAACTGGACAACCCACATCCAGGTGACTCACTCCTAGGAGCAGGGTGTTCCTGGGTTGCAGAGGCCTCAGGAGGTGAAGGATAAACCCCTGCAGCTTCCGTCTCTGCTTTTGGAGGTTTGAGAGGAAAGTACCTCAATAGGGCAGTAAGTCAGTAAATTATTGTGGAACAATTGATGAGGAGTCAAGACAACCTGCTTTGTTTTGTTTTTAAGAGAACGCACGTGCCTTTAGGTTACTGTCGTGCTTGGAGCAGGTTGCATGAGCCCTGACTCCCTAGGGGTCTTAGGAAGGGGCCCAGCAGCCTGGGATACAGTAGGCTCTCAGTCCTTGCGCTTCAGAAAGCCCCTTGGAAGGAGGCCCCGTTTGGGCAGCCCCTGCAGGGATCCAGGTGAGGGGGCTGATGGAGGCAGCAGTGGGATCCTGCAGGGCCGGGGAGGAGGCGAGATGTGAGGCCTCTAGCTGTGCATCTTGCAGGGAGAGCTTTTAGTTGGGGCTGGTTTGGGTGGAGCTGGTGTTCAGGCTGGGGCTTGGGTTTGGGGACAAAGGTCCAGTATGTGGGGAGCAGGGGAGGGGTGGGCTCTGGGGCAGGTCTGCCCACAGTGGTCTGCCACAGAGCCCTGGGACTGTGGGTACCAGGGGGCGACCTCCCACCGGGAACACCCCAGGGCAGGTCCAGAGTCTGTCCTGTTCATGCCAGGGCCTGCTCGAGTCAGCATTTGGGGGGGATGTAAGGAAGGGGTGAAGGCAGGCCCTGGGAGGGCCTGGGGTCACTCGTGTGTGGAGCTGGGTTTTGAAACTGAAAAACCACATCTCTCCCAAAAACCACCTTTCCCTGAAGAGATGTGTATTTCCCTGCTGCCCAAGAATCCTTCGCTCGGATGTGCCTGGTGTGGGGACAAGGCGGACCCACCTCCCTGACCTCCAGGGGCTCCCATGGCAGCTGGGGAGAGACCAGAAAGGAGAAGTCATTGCCAAGTAAATGCGTACGTGACGCCCATGTCTTGGAGCCTGCATCATTACATCAGCAGTTGGGTCTGAGTCTGTTGTTCTAGTTCATTTCCTGATTCCTGAGGATAGAATTACAGCACAGAATGTGCTTTTTCAAACTCCTCATGTGTTGAGCCGCAGAGCCCCAGGCCCCACCCCCTCCCAGGGAAGGCCGCCCTGCAGGGCTCTTCTCAGACCCCAGCCGTGGAGGGGCAGGAGGGGCCCAAAGCCAGAGCAGTCGGAGGACAGGACAGCAAGTGGGTAGGGAGTGTCACAGGGGACCAGCGATCAAGCCAGGCCTCTGAAAAGTGCGTGGGGGAGTTTTTATTTTGTACAGCATTTGTAATTTCTTACACAAGGCAGGTTCAGTGTGGGAAAATTAGAAACACCAGCAGGTAAAGAGGAAAAGGAAGTCGCCTCTGTTCTCCCCAGCCTGGAATCTGTTGAGTTCAGTGACAGGAGGCTGCCTGGACCTGGGGTGGGCCAGAGAGCAGGGCTGGAGCTCAGGGTACCACAGGGCGAGTGGGGTGGGGTGTGCCAAGCATCGGCTGTGCAGACCTGGGGAATGAGGCTGTGCAGGAGGAGAGTGCAGGGTGGGGGTGCTGGGTGCCAGGGGCTGTATAGTTCTAGCATGGGAGCTACCTGAGCAGGTCCCAAAACTCCTGGGCAAAGACTGGTGGGGAGGATAGGGCTGTCAGCTGGCTCCTCTCACTTGGAATAAAACCCAAGCTCAGAGCCTCTGAGCCCAAGGTGACCTGGCTGCAGCCTCATGCCCCAAGCTCATTCCTACCTCAGGGCCTTTGCACTGGCTGCTTCCCCAAACTAGGAAGCTCTCCCACCCAGCCTTGCACAGACCATCAGGTTCCTGCTCAACTCTCACCTCCTCTAAAGGGGCTTGGCTGGCCTTCCCTGTGAGGGAAGCCCCCACCACATCCCCATGCCATGCTCTCTTTCAGCTCCTAGAGTGACATTTGTTTCTCTGTTTGTCACCTCTCTCCACTGCGGCAGGGACGTTCTCTGTCTTCTTTACTACCACTACACAGGGCCCGGCACACAGTAGGTGCTCAATAAATGTTGGGGCTGACAGAGTCACACTTCTCCAGGGACATGTGGTCTGTGAAGAAGAGGTGAGGGGTGGTGGAGGTTCTGGGTTATAAATTTTTCTCAAATGTATTTTTAGAATTAAAAACATCAGAAACAAAGTTCCTCAGTGCTGGGCCGCAGTTGCTGTGGTCAGGACCCTGGAGATGCTGGGATGGGGCAGGCCTCTCCTGGGCTGGGCAGTGTGTGTGCAGAGCCAGACCGCTGCCCTTTCAGTTTTGACTCAAGAGTGGGGGTCACTCTCCCAGCCCGGCAGGGGGTGAGCAGGCAGCTGAGGAGCCCGGCCCGGGTGAGGGGATCCAGGCTCTGGCCTGTCTTGCCGTGTGGTCCAGGCCACAGGTTTCTCTTCTCTAGACCTCTGGGATCGGAGAGTGGAATCCTGCAAAAATGCAGATTCCAAGGCCCCACCCCAGACCTAAGGAATCAGGCTCAGGGAGGAGGTGGGGCAAAGCCGGCATTTAAACTGGCCTCT